TTCTTCAAGTCAATGAATGTGAGACAAAACGGCATCTTGTACTCCTGCGATACTTCGATGAGCTTCGTTACCGTGTGGATGTGATCGATCGTGCTGAATCCTCTTCGAAACCCTGCTTGCTCGCATGGCTGTCCTTCGTCTAGTGTTCTGCCAATCCTATTCAGGATGACTCGTGTGAAGAGTTTGTAGACTACAGACAGCAGGCAGATTGGGCGATAATTAGTCCAATGTTCTGTACAATGTCTCCCTTCTTGTTCACAGCAACACTAGTCTTTGCTTTGTCTGTTATTTCACGATATGTGGGTACTTGCATTCCTGACATGCTAGTGAGTGAAGAGTTCGAGCCAGAAGTTTGACGAGAATGGCGGTAAGATTCTTCAGGATCTGTTCGGTCTGAATCCTGTCGAGACGGGTGCGTCGATTCTTCACCGACGAGATGGCGTGTCGGACTTCGGAAGGGAGAACTGCAGAACGACATATCCATCCTGCTCCAAGCGGTATGGTTGCAGGTGGACGTGGCTGTCGAAGAGATCCGAGTAGAAGTCGTGGATGACCTTCTCCATTGCCCTTCTGGATGCGGTGATTGTTCCATCCGGACGCCGATGAGGGCGCGTCATTTGGTCTTGGTCGTTGGCGTAAGGTCGCGGCGGGGCGTTACGGTTAATTGCCTTCCCAGTCTCTCTGCGGCTCTCCACACCAGACTGGCTGCTCTTCTATCCTTCATGGTTTCTTTTATCGCTCCCTCTGCATTAGCTTTCGCAAGACTCAGCGTCAGCTTGGGTAATTGCTGCGGCTCGTGCGGCTCCACGTTGGCGAATCAGCTCGAGAGTTTCCAGAGATAGACGCTTCTTGGTAATCTTGGAACCCTCTGACTTCTTGGCGCAGTCGTGAAGATGTGCAACAAGCCGTTCGTATTCCTCGTCGATGTTGTCGATGACAGAATCCTCCCAGAGCCCAGCGAGAGAAGTGAAGTGATCCCAGTTGATGAAGGTCTTTGGGCTTCGCTTTTGACTTTGCGGCTCTCTCTCCTCGCATCGAAAAGCGGAATCTTGCGCGAAGGAGGCGATGGTCGGATCCCGTGTAGAACTTAGGGACAACAGCGACATCGATTAGGCAACCTTCGATTGCAGATGATGTGGTCGATCTCGTTATGGAATTGTCCACCAGGAGACTCCCATGTCCAGCGTAGAGAGTAGGGCTTCTGGAACTGCGAGTTACCATGGATGGTGTGGGTCGACATGATAAACTCAGACAGCCTTTCACCCTGCTCATTCCACTCCGTCTCGTGGCTTAGTCGATATGAAGTTCTTTCAGCGTTTTCTTGGTCCTATCTATAGCGTTAAATCATCCGACGATGACCTTTGAAGAAGGTTGATCTTGCCTTGTAGAACTTCGTGCCGGAAGTATACAGTATAGGAGACGCTTCGAGCCTCATCCTTCGATCGGTAGCTTGAGTTGGTTTGCGTACGGCGCGGAAGATTGTAAAGCTGGAGTTAGAACCCATCCTTTCAAGTCGCCAAACGTCCGTTCGGGTCGTGCGAGACTTGCGTTACGGCATCGATGTTTGAGTGGTTTGGTATGAGGTGTTTCTGGTGTGAGTGATTCTGGTACCGGGCTAAAAACTTTTAAAATGAATACCCTGCGATTTAGGGCAAGCTCCGCCCACTGTGGGCGGGTCTCAACACACTTTGAGCGTGCCCTATATTCGCCAGATATTTACATTCTACACTGAGTTTTTTGCGACTTCCAAACACTCTCGCGAACCGGGTTACTGAATTTTGCGAGAAGCACGCCACCTTGTGAGTACGCCCCGCCCTTTTAAATGTGTACTCGCCCACAGTTAGCCTATCGACCCCTTACTAACCTTAATCCCTTTTTTCCCCATCTTTACGCTGCTTCCGAAGCGAATTATGATTACTTTTCTGCGGAGCCCCAAACTTTCGGCGAGTGCCCCGCCCACTGTGGGCGGGGCTTCCCATAGGTCAAGTGTGCTTTTTATTTCTTGTCCCATGCCCTACCCATCCCCACCTTGACCCGACCTCTCCAAGTCGTTCTTCAGGTCGAACCGAATTTCCGGACAGACAAACTTACAAACAACAAACAAACAGACGAAGCGAATTATATATATGGGGTGATAGGGACTTTCAAGGAGCAGTATGCTTCTTGCTCAGAGCTTGCTAGAAGCTTTCAACACTACGTTGTATGGATTGTATCAGGCCAGTAACAAGTACAGGGGGGGGGGCAAAAAAGAGACACTTTGGCCGAGTCACATATCAGTAAAGTTTACGCAGCCCAGAGAGAAGACGTGGATACGAGTACCAGGGCGGAAGATACCCAAGATGTTCCTCGATAAGCAGGAGCAGGCTCTCGTCCATCACCTTCATGTACACCAAAATATGAAGCCATCTCCAATCGCAGCCTGACTGGAGAAGGCCTATGGAATTCACGTCACCTCCAAACAGCTGCGAAACTTGCATGGAGTCACCCATAGACAGCTACCTGGGACCGGCACTCTTGATCTGGAAGACCTCCAACATCCAGCAGCTGCGACAACCTCGTGTCGGGCCAGGATATCATCTTCACCGCAGTCGCCAAGGCGCGGGTTGATGGTATGGACCGGAAGTTGGTGGAATGGAAAGACCGATATTTTCTTCGTGGATCCCGGACTGAAGTGAACGCTGGCGGTTACATTGAACAACTCGAGAAATATCCTGCCTTCATGTCGTCGCCTGTACCATCTTGGAACTTCGTACTGCTACAGGATTGGGTGCCAGCACATGGAATCGAAGGGCGCTGGGAAAAACTCGCCTACTTGGAAGCGAAGGGCGTTGAATACTTAAAGAAGACGAAATACCTAAGTGCGTCACCTGACCTAAGCCTCTCGGTTACTGGGCTCGGGCGGAGCTCAACAGGTGGTCTACAGTGGCGGAGAAATCAACGACCTCGCTGAACTCAGGCACCGAATCACGGTCGCGTGGCAGAATCTCTCGATGGCGTTTGCCGGGAAGGCTGTGGCAGACTTCCGTGATTGTGTGCAATGTGTTCGCATTCCATTGGAACCAAAATTTAATTAATCAGTGAGGGCTATGTAGCCTCTCACAGAGCTATGTAGCCTCCCTTGTCAGTAAAGACGATGAAGCGTTGACTGACATTTGTTAGCGATGACTAGCAGGCTGCTGACACACTCTTGTCTCGAACTTAAAATGGTGCTTCTGTCCAATGACCACGTGAGACCTAACCGCGTACTACCTTAGCGTTATAACAACATTTAATGCTTGAGGGCTCGTACACGTGGGTGCATAAAATGAGTGCAACTTCTGGTTTTTGTGTCCCCATAAAGTCTGTGTAATTCATTACAGTGTTCTTACTTCACAGACCTCATTCTTTTAATATATTCCACTCATCAGCAAATTTCAATCCAGCAAAAATTCTAATTCAGCAAAAATTTGCCAAGGCCGCCGAAGCCGAAGTCACGGTCGGCTATCATCGATTGGTTCAAACGGGATGAGTGGCCACGTGGCACCGGACAGGATCCGAAAACTAGAATGCCCGCACCGTGGTTCCACGGTAAGTTCAACCATTGATGGAAATTGTAAAAAGGGGAAAGGTCCTCTAGAAGATATGCTGTTCGAAATTTAATAGGCTTTGAAATTCTTTCCCTGCAGTCTGCAACGCCAGGTGTTTATTCCGACGAGAACTGAAACTTGATTCACGTTAGCAGCAGTTTACAAATTCTGAAGGATTTCATTTTGAATTATTCATTTGTTATTGACCTGTAATCTGGTACCTCAAATTAGCCGGTACCAGTTTCGATTATTTACCAGTAACCTAATATTTCATCTCTCAGCCCACGTTACACATGTTTCCTAGATCTGTAACTTCTGTTTAAGACCTTTCAAAATCCTCTCTTTATATTTTCCTCAAATGTACGATATGGATTCAGTCTTCTGGTGAATTAGTGAGCATTTTAACTCACAAGCTTAGTGGTGACCGCCTGCCTCTCCAGTGGATATAATTCCACCAGTTTACAGCCTTCATAATTCTTAATTCTGGCTTGATCACACTCTCTGCGTAGTTTATGTAATCATTGCATTCAGGAATAATTTCCCGGACCAGGCAGAGAGATCTTGACTGCAGGACCACGCGACGTGCATCCGTTCCTCACGTGTCGAGTGTCAGAGGAGGATATGGGGGGTTAGTTTTGTACATTTAAGCGCAAGTATCATATAGTGTCCTAAGCACCCGAAATTTTTTGTAGCTGGTGACGCGTGCCTTCACATTGAAGAGATAGTGGTGACGGTGGGGAAGCACGAGGTCTCAAGAGGAAACTACTTCCTGCAGCCGGAGTGCTTTCCGTGGTAGGGATCAGTGCTCGTCCTATCGCATCGAGAATGAACCTTGCCGCTCGGCCTTTTCGTTCGTTGGGAAAAGTCAAGCTACTAGGGGTACGTTCATGCATACTTGACGCGAGCAGTCAGTTGAAGAGTTGCGCGTCTGTCGCCTCGACTAAACAAAACCTTCGACGAATGCCAAACAGGCGTTGACAGACTTGTTCTTCGGTATAGACTATTAATAGAGGTAAGTTAAAAAAGGACCATGTTGTAGCCATCACCTTTGTTTAATCATATAACAGGACAGTTTCGGCACATAGAACCAATAGAACTTTACACATGACGACTTTTAAGAAATGGCGAAACTGCAGATAGAAGAAAGTATAGTATCGATTCGAAAAACCACGCAATCGGGAGAAATGCAGAACTGCGGAATCTGCAGGAATGTCGAAATGACGGACAAGGACTTGATAGGGATTGATCGCTTAGCCCCACCAGCGGGAGAAATGCCGATTCTTCGAAATTTCGGCATTTCTACAGGCTCCGTATTTCTGCATTTCTCCCAGTTCCTCGATTTTCCGAATCGATATATATTATAATTTCTTCTTTCCACAGTTTTGTCGTTTCTTCGAACTACGATCGCGGCCTTACAATTATTTGAGCGCCATGTACGGCTCTCCATGAACCTCGGCATTGTGATGATAGTGATATATCCTGGTTGAACTCCACACGAGGTTGTTAATTAACCTTTACTGGCCTACGTTTCAACGGGATCGCCTTCTTCTGAGCCTGAAAGGATCGGAGCAATTTATGACTACACGACCAAACGTTTCCACTACCCTACTGAAGTTCAGTACACTACATGCCATTACCTAATCGTAAGGGGGGGCACGCACAGCAACAGTCGATCTTGACGAGACCAGCGAGCCGGCAGTAGGGCCAAGTTATTAGTTATTTGAGCGTTCCGTGCTTTTATTGTAGTATTCAAAGTTAGTTTCAGATACACGGTGTCTTACGTAGTTGGAGATGGCACATTCAAGCACTTCCTCGTTGAGCGTATTCCTGAAGGTTATCAATTCCTCGGAACAAATCAAGTTGTTCACGATCAACTGTTCGATCTTGTTTCTTATCACGAGGTATGCTAATCACGCTACAGTTTTGGAGCATTTCCTGTGAAAATTTCATGGGAGAAATCTTGGAGTTATGGCACTCTGCGAAGGGGCTCCAATCGGTTTATTAACCCATTGCGTACCGCGTGCTGCACATGGTGAAGCACTCTTCGTTTGAACTCATTTAGCATTGTTAGATGACTGAAAAGAGTCGGTATATTCCTGAAGTCGTCTGGGACAAAATATGTGTGGGGGAAATTGCGAGATTGAATAATAGCTAAGTTGCTGGCATTTTTCGAGTAATACCTCAACTATTACATTTTTTAATTAACTCTCCTTTACCATTAAAACCGAAATCCTGCTTAGTACACGACTGAAAAATTGTAAAATGGTGTGAGTGAACAGCTTCTAAGCACACTGCGTCACTTTTTCGATTCTTCTTAATTTTATCAAGCTTTTTTGGCTAGTTTCGCATTTTTCGGCTTTACACTTTTATCACGTAACAATATTGAATCCCCTTTAGCATACGTTTACATATAAAAGTGATGCATAATACGATGTGTGTACAATATTTTTATGTTATATGTATAAGATAAAAATCTTATGTTTTTATACTCAGCGCGCCAGAAATCGCGTCGCGCAAATACACTGCGGTACGCAATGGGTTAAAGGCACATTCTGCGTTCACGTGATAGGCGGAATGTTCGCGGGCATTTGGTAGTCAAGTTCGCAGTCAGGGCGGTGCCCTGCTTTCGCCACTGGAAAATGTGAGATAAAGGCGTCAGAGACGCACGTTGCAACGCTCAAAGTCTGTGCAAGCCGTTATTACGACAACAACTTACCCAGTAAATTTGTTATCTGGCGCGTCGTAGGACATTTTCCTGGGACTGTGCCGAATTGAGTCGTTCTGCTTCCTTTCAACTCATGCAACCAAACGAAACAATTTGCTTTGGAAGCCAGGATGCGCTTTGGCGCACCTAATTCACCAATTCGGCTACTTTGGTGCAAGGGTTCCTCGGGCAACGCTTGTCTCTTTCCCCAAGGAGTTTTCTGAAGGCTATTTTCTAATGTGAGCAAGGCTATTTTCTAATGTGAGCTTGGTTGCGAATATTGTCTTCAAGTGTTTTGACATGTTGTTGCTTGTTGCCACACCGCTTGCCCTACCATTCCGTCATTGCAGACTGCACCAATAACAGCAAGGGGTGGAGAAATATTGAAATGGTCGGTGGGCCAAATGTTTCGTCCACCAGATTATCATGACATCGTGCCAGAATTAGCAATTCCGGACCCGAGTCGAATACTGGGTCGTTTTTGAAGCATAAACAATCGTCTTTGCTTGTTTTTCATATTCTTCATTCTACAATTATCTAGTTCTCCGCTTGAGTTATGTCGTTAAGAATCTCAAATACGTGTGATATTGCCTACTTACTTTTCATTGTTATGTATAAAATACATTAATCCAGTTTTACAAGTTGCATCTGTTTCTGTTGTTTGTTTGCTATAAGTCAATTCTCAATTAGGAAGCATAAATATGTATTTTATTAAGTCAGGTGAATCACTTCTAGACCTTTAGACTGCGTTCATAGTTTGAAAAAGGATTAGATAGGTATCGATCGAAAAAGTTGGAAAATCCGCATGAGTTGATTCCAGATGCATATGTGTAACATTATTGGCTCCTCTTCTCTTACCAGCTTCTTCACCACGATAGAAGATGGCAAGAGGAGGACCGCACCAATGACGTTTTCTGGCTCCGCCCACACAACAGTCCTGGACGGTGTCCTTAAGTCCACCCTCCTTGCGTTTGAAAACATAGTTGGCGGATGTCATCAGTTCGTATGTGTCTGCATTGTTCTTTTTCGTGGACTTTCCAACGGTGATTGTCTATTACGGCGAAAGCTTTGAACGGAGCCTTACAACTCACATCAGAGTTTTGTGTGCTTGTTTTATATTGTATATATTTGCGTTCCAGTCTGTTCTTCATCGTGCATTATATTCTAATCGCTCACCTTACCATTACCGCTGATTGAGCTAATACATTTTGCTTACACTTAAATAATGTACATATCGGTGTTGAAATTTTCTTTTCAAAAGTTTGCA